CCAATTGGCAGTTTGATAGTCCCGACTCCTTCAACGCGATGAGTACTGCCATCAGGTAATTCAACAGGTGATGCCATAGTCAATGGCATATAACTGTTAAATGCAGACTTATCATTGTGGATAGTCCATGTGGTTCCTGTGTCCAATATCCAGTTGTCTGATTGTCTCACTGGATGGACTAAATTGGCAGCACCAGTTGTGCCTGTGATAGGCTTTGGTCGATTATCATCACTAGATGATGTGCCATTCGGTGGAGGATTCTCCTTTGGTGGGCGGAGCTCTGGGTGTAGTACCCAGCATCGTTCAACTTTGTGATATCCTCGCTTGCAATGAGGACACAGTTGTGATGACTTTGATTGCTCGTTGGATGGTTTCTGGGGTGGAGAAGGGTCTGATGAAGTGCCTGTGATTGGCTGACTCTTCTTGTTCCCCCCCTTGGGTGGTTGATTATCTATTTGAGGTGTGTGGCCCCAAGGTTCCTGTCGATAAATTGTGTATGACAGGGGTTTGTAATGGCCGGGTGCGGATGGTGTACGACTCTCCAATTGGTTGATTATCGCGGCCATATCAATCTCATGTGACTGATTCCTCTTCGATTGGATGAAGAGGTGGTCTAGTTGGGTGCGCATGAATGAGCGCTGATGTTCACCCAATAGGATTATACCAATGTCATGGCAAACTTCCGAAATCGGATAGTCCTGTCGCTCTAATTCAGTAGAGATTCTCTGCCATTGCCGCATCATCGCGATATAATTGCCCTGTGGCTTCAGATTTAGAAGCGTCTTCACCAAAAGAAGGCGTTTTTCGGCAGGTGATATGCCATATATCGTGTCCAATCGGGACAGAATGTCGGACGGTTGCTGTGTATGGTCCATTTGGACCTGATCGGCGATATCTGACGTCAAACAGTCTAATATCCATTTATGCAGTAGCTGTTTGGAAGTTTCAAATCGGATCTGTTGAAGGGAAGTCGCCTTCGGTACAGTGTCCGGTTGGAGTAGGATGTCTCGGGCACCCAAATAATCAGCATCAAACAATATGCCTTTTCGCCAATCAGAATAATTATCTCGTCCATGCAGTTTCTTGGTCTCTCACCAATATGTCTGTGCGAGCTGTCTCAGGCGTTGTTCTTCCCTATCCAGCATTGATTGGCTATCCTTTTGCTCAAACAGTTTGGACAGCTGATCAGCTAGGCGGGAGTCTGTGGAGGATGTGTTGGCATTCATCTGTGCCTGGCGGAGTTTTGACATCTCCTCATCCTTCTGCTCAAGTCTGCGCCATAATTCCGCAATGAGGTCGTGGCTAGACTTCTTAGCAGGTCGTTGAGCAGCTTGGGTAGACTGCTCAGGCCTTTCGGACGCTTGAGGCCTTTCCGGAGCCTTTGCCCGATGAAAGTCTTGTTCCTGAGGCTGGGGGCTTGATTGGTCCCCCCCTCGAATCGGTGTCGATGGTGTGTCGTCAGGGAATCCTCCCTGAGTAGTCGTCTCGTCGACGGGGTAATCGCCTGGAGTAGGCGTTGTGTGGTCGTCAATATCCATTGAATCAGCCTGTTGGTGGCTATCATGCTGGATAGTTTGTGGGGTTGGCACCTGGGTAACTGGTGCCATCTTGGCCTTTCGGGGGGCCATATCGACGCAGAGGCAGTGGAATCAACTGTTATCGTCGGCGTCATAGTCAATTTTTGATTGATTGATATCGGAGCGCTTCAGTATGGATATAAAGCTTTTCCGACGAAAAACGTTTTCAGGGATAAACAGAGTGTACGATAGCGATTGATTCTTATAGGCAAATAGCACAAACTGTTAGGCCAAACAAGAATAGCTCACTAAAGGAACCAACACATATATCGCTCTTCCCTTTATCGAGCAAGAGGGCTCATAACCTTTTGGTGTGTGGTGAATGGTTGATTGGTTTATGGCCTATCGGCTGAGCTAACTATATAAACTACCGGGCAGAAAGCGAGGGCGGTCAGACACGTGACCCGATGGGTACTAACAGCCCTCGCTTTCTGCCCAGTAGACATAGCTAGCCTGAGCCGATAGGCACCCAATCAAACCAACTATCCACACACACCAAAAAGTGAGCTGCGCACCTCTGTATTCCATATAGAATGGCACTTTTTACAACCTCAATATCTCAGCCACCAACAGACATCGAGGCTTATTAGATAAAAAGGTTATACATACATTCACTACAAGAAAGTATATTACTTTCTAAAGATTCTGTAGCTCTTTGTAACCATAAATACTTGAATATCGAAAAATACAAAAAAATACAGTGGTAATTTATATTACTTGAAGGAATATTTATCTGAAAAAGCTTTCTGCTCAGTGTATAATATTAGTACCGTAATACCCTATATACTAAATTTCAGGCTCTGTAGATACTTTGCGGTTGAGATATTGACGTTTTAAAGAGTGCCATTTTATATGGAATACAGAGGTGCGCAGCTCGCCGGCCACCCAATGCGAAACGCATCAGTTAATTAGACTCTAATTATTCAACCACCCACCCACCATGCCACCAACTCGCTCTCAAAGCTCTAAAAATTAAATAGAGCAAGAGGGTAGGATCTTACTAGCTATTCAGGCTATAAAGAAGCAAGAAATTCCTTCTATACGCGAAGCAGCCCGTCGGTTCAATGTGCCTCGTACAACTCTCCAAGATCGATTACACGGCCACCAAAACCGAGGCGAAGCACGTTCCAATAACCATAAATTAACACAAACAGAAGAGGAATCGCTTAAAAATGGATACTCTCAATGGATTCCCGTGGAGCAGCCCCCCCCCCCCCCCCCCCGGTCGACCTGCTATTGTACGAGAAATGGCGGATCTACCCCAGTTCAAACAGTGGGCGAGAATTGGGTCTTCAACTATGTGAAAAGGTACCCGGAGCTCGCAACCCGATTCTCAAGGCGCCATAATTACGAGCGTGCAAAGTGAAGACCCAAAAATCATTTATGAATAGTTTGATTGCGTACAACGTACAATAGTTCAATATGGCATCAATCCTGATGATATCTATAGCTTTGATGGGACTGGCTTTGCAATGGGCTTGATTGCTACTCCAAAAGTTGTTACAAGGGCAGAATACTATGGTCGGCGCTCACTTTTACAGTCTGGAAATCGTGAGTGGGTGACAGCAATTGAATGTATAAGTGCTTCAGGGTGGGCCCTACCTCCATGTGTGATTTTCAAAGGCAAGGTCTTTATTGAGTCTTGGTTCGATAACCTTCCGAATAATTGGCGGTTTGAAGTAAGCCCAAACGGGTGGACTTCTGATGAAATTGGGCTTCGATGGCTTGAAAAGCTCTTTATTCCATCAACAAATACACGCACGAAAGGGAAATATCGACTTTTGATCCTTGATGGCCACGGAAATCATATAACACCACGATTCAATCAAACCTGTGATAAACATAATATCATTTCAATCTGCATGCCAACGCATTCATCACATATTTCACAGCTGCTTGATATCGGTTGTTTTGCGGTGTTAAAGCGATCATATGGTCGGATGGTTGAATCGAAAATGCGGCTCAATAAAAATCATATCGACGAATTAGATTTCCTTGAGGCCTATTCACACGCACGGATTGAAGCATTCAAACCTGAGACTATAAAGAATAGCTTCACAGCAGCTGGTTTAATGCCCTATGACCCTGATCGAGTGATTTCAAAGCTTGATATTCAGCTTCGTACGCCAACACCCCCCGGAAGCTGGGGTAGCGATTGGGAGCCAAAAACGCCTTCAAACTACGTGCAATTACAAAAGCAAGCCTCCTCAATCAAAGCTTTACTAAAGCAGCGCTCAAAAAGCCCACCAAGTCCGCTTAATTCTGCAATAAATCAGGTTCTTTAAACCTTGTCAGATCACATAAAAATATGCATGCCCAGTTAGACCTAATTAGGTAATTTTCTTAATTTAATGGCGTTTTGGTTGATCTACGGAGGTGTGCATTTTGAGTCTTACTCGACGCTATTCCCTTTTAGGAATGGCCTTATTTGCGCAATACAGGCCATTACACGTAGCTATCATCATTCATCTGCAAGCCCCTGAATACTACATACGGCCTATCTTATTGCTTCTTTTGAGGTCATACAGGCCTATATCGATGTTGCTTGCTCTATCATACTCTCTATCACCTACCTGCCTCCTTTCCCCCCCCCCCGATTCAGTCAAAATGCGTGGGTCTTATCATCCTGTGGGTGTCCGTGTTCAAGCAGTTACTCTAATGACCCAGGGCTTTGATATACAGCGTGTTGAAGCTATCACTGGCATGTCTAGCTGGACTATCAAGCGCTGGGTTAAGAAAGCAAAGGAACGTGGCTTTAACCCAGAGATAGATCAGCGGATTTTGACTGAATATGTGGAAGATGACCCCCGTCCTGGCCGTCCTAAAGAGATCACTCAATCAACTGAGGATTCTATTGTTTCTTCTATTAGAAAAGACCATGCTGGACGTGAGAAATCCTCTGAATTCCTTGCTTTTGATTTTTGAAGTTGACATTTCCCCCTCATCTATTTTAAAGATTCTTAAGAAGCATGGCTTTCACAGTGTCAAACCTACCAAGAAACCAGGCCTTACTGATGAAACCAGAAAAAAACGCCTAGATTTCTGCCTTGCCCATGAAGACTGGACCCTGGAAGACTGGAAGAATGTGATATTTACAGATGAGACCTCGGTGGCTTTGGGCCACCGGCGTGGAGGAGTTAGGATATGGACTTCTTAATCTAATAGGAAGTCCTAGTTCCAAAGCTGATTCCATTTGCTAAATAATGCATGATTGAGCGTCCAAAAACTTCAGTTTTAGAGGATGGAGCACCTGCTCACTGTCATCATTTTCAGGCAATGACTGTGACGGCTCAACGACCAGACAAACATTGCCAACATGCCAAAAGATGCCATA